TCAGCACATCACTAATTTACTTATTGGCCTCTGTCTGTTTCTTTCCCTGAAAGTGTGGGAATAATAGCCCTCATTTGGCAGAGTTGGGGGAATTGAAGGAAATATATATGTTGTATTAGAATCAGCAAATAGTCATTACCACTAATATAGTCATTACTACTAATAGTGACAAGGTATACCATAGTTATGTGAATAAATTAATTTTTTACTAACTGTAAAGTTCATCCAAATTTGGGTTAAACTCTTATTTGGATGAGACATGTCTACAGGTGACACACACTCTTCCCACCAACTTCATGCCCCAAAATGTGCCCTCAATGAAGAGGAACAGCGACACTCAACAACAAGGCCACACACCGAGAGGTCTGACAGGAGACTTTGCTCAGGAAACTTATATTGAGGGGAGCAGGTCAGAGAGAGAGAGAGAACAAAGAAAGGATGGTCCTTTTATTGGTTTGGGGCTGGACTATTGCATATGTGTGAGCAGGCGGGCTACTTTTAACCTGTCACAGGCCAGGTTGCCTTTTATGGACTCAGCCTTGCAGAAGCCTAAACTTCACTTCTCTAAGCTATTGCGGCCTTGGGAGAAGGAAATAGAAGGGAACTTAAGAGCATGATGTCATTTTAAGAACATGAAGAACCTGGAAAATACAACCCATGATGGCAGCGTCAGGTCCCTAACACTCAAGGGACAGTGTAATGGGTTCTGGTTGTTTGTTGAGACCTGGAAACAGACCTCTTTTAACCAGGAAATCCAACAAGCCCATAAAGGTTCAGTCCACACTGGGGTGCTTATTGGTGAACCAAATAGATTTAATTGGATGCTTAATAATTCTGATTCAGACACTTCATAGGGTGAGGAAGATGTATTCTATTTTTGCCAGGAACTTGCGATCTAACATATCCAGAACAATCTGTAAAAAATATCTGTACTGATAACTTAGAATTCTCAGCTCACTTCCTATGTACATCTAGCCCAGTGTCAAACTCTATAAAGAGCTATCAACCCTTTTCCACACTGCAAATGACCCAGATGTTCACCACTAAGAGAACAGGTGAACAAAAAGAAGTATATGAATGCAACAGTGTACCAGTAAACAATAAAAAATTCTGCGGTGCTCCTAGATGTAACATGAGTGAATCTTAAAATCATGTTGTCAGTGGAGCGAGACACAGAAGAATGCTTATTGTAAGATTTCATTTTTATGATGTTCAAAAATAATTTAGGACAATAGCAGTGTGCATAGTAGTTTACCTTTGGGGCAAAGAGGAGGTATTGACTGGGAAGGGGCAAAAAGAGTCCTTCAGGGTGACAGAAATGCACTGGATCTTACAGATTCAAGAATAAGCACACACACACAGCTATTACTCAAACTGTACAATTAATATTTGCACATGTGCAGTGTGTGAGTCACACCTTCACTTAGAATAGTGTCTGAGGGCCGGGGTTTTAGTTCAGTGGCTCCACCACCTGCCTCACAAGCACAAGGTCCCATGTTCAATCCCTGCTACCAAAAAAAAAAAAAAAAAAAAAAAAAAAAAAAAGTGTCCAAGGAAAGAAACTTGTTTATGTTGATGAGAGTGAATGAGGTGAAGGTAGACAGATATTAACTCATATATCCGTCTTTCTAGAGTTTACAGTTTTATACATTTGGTTTCTGTAAGAATGAATCTATCACTGAACTTTGGTTTTTAAGCTAAATAAAACCTGTCAGGATGATTCATAGTACATGAATGAATTGGATCCCAACTCTTAAAAGTCAAGTCTCTGCCTTGCAACAGAATAAACAGTTTTCATTTTAACAATTTTTAGCCCTGGAATACTGGAAGGTGACTCTGTTGTGAATGTAGAAGTGGCATCGCTTTTAAATGTCTCTTTGGAGCCATTGATCATATAGTTCATAGAAGAGAATAGTTGTTTGGTAACTTCATGTTCCCAGCTTGGATTTGTTAAACTCCTCCATGGGAGAAGCTGCAGGATAGATTGCTTTGAGCTGAATGTGAGCGTGTGTTTGAACTCAACGTAAATTGATTTTCATGAAGGACATCTTCATTTCATGCATAAGAATGAGCCGTTAGCTGATCGATCTCCACCTGCTCCATGGTATGCACTTGCTAAAGTCTGAAGACAAAATCATAATGAGTCAAGGAAGGCAGGGAAGATACCTAGGCTCACCCTAAATATAATAAGCACTAACTAGGGAAGATCACTGGGGATGCAAATGCCAATGCTGTCATTTTACCTCTTCCTTAAAAACTTCCATGATGGTTTAAAACTTCATAAACAACCTCTTCTATTAAAGTATCTGACCTCACCCTCACCCTAGTACTGGAGATTGAGCATAGTGCCTTCACACTGACCTACATCCACACCCCCTTTTTAATTTTTTTATTTTGAAAGAGCCTTGCTAAATCACTAAATTGCCCAAGCTGGGCTTAAACTGTGTGAGCCTCCTGCCTCAGCCTCCTGGAGTGCTGGGATTACAGGTATATGCTACCCTACCCGGATTCAAAACCTTTCTTGATACTTTTTTCTATATCTCTCTAGGCATCCTCTCTTCTTCAGGAACCCTGACCCCTAATTTTCTGTCCTCCCTGAGCTATGGGATACTTCATTAAACCTTCAGGACAATTCTCTGGATGTCAGACTATGGTCACTTCTCCCCTGCCATGTGCTTCTCCATCTCTCCTTTCCCTGCAGACATCAGGTCTTGCACAAAGCTGGCGTGGAAAGTTACAGCTATAACGGGGGCAGAAAGGGAGAAAGCCTGCATCTATCTGCACAGCAGAGATTGAAGGCAAAAACAGTGTTTCAGACTTTACCATTTCATGGTACACAGGTTTTTCACTAATAAAAATTTCATGGAACCTTTCAACAACCTTGTTTCTCACTGCCTTCAAAACTTCATAACACTCAGTAATTAGGATTTTTGTTCCAACAACCAAAAAGGTCACCCAGACTTCTTTTTTGAACAGAAGAGTTTAACAGTTGCAGAGAAAGTAAAGGAAAAAATGATTTTGAAATGCCATTAACTGAAATGAAAAGGTGAAGAGATTACTTTGTTATTTTACTTTTATTTTGTATGTGTTTTAAGCTATGAAGCCCCACTTGCTGACCTGAGCCACACTGTGTCACCGTGTTGCCTGGCAGCCAGCACCTCATCCCCAGAAATCTGTCACCAAGGTCTGAGAGCTGGGTAGATGCCCAAAAGGTCTACTGAATTACTTTCTTCACATTTGTCTTGACACAAATATGTGTCTCATGAGCATTATTTGGAGGCAGAATATGTTGACGATGATTCACTTCATAGGAAAGCTTATAACATTACACCTGATACTGTTTGAAGATGTTCAGATATGTATTTCATGTTTACATATTTGCACATATAATATATAGTATATATTCATTATGTGTATACACATTGATACAGTCTACCTACATATGTAAGACATGTAAATTACTTACTAGTGTTGGTGGACAGTCTAAAGCTCCTCACCCCAGCCTCAGGACCTTTGAACTTACTGTTGCCTCTGTCTGAAGTGCCTTTTTCCCAGATAACTACTTAGTTTCCCATCTCAGCCTCCCATCTCGTCTTTCACCTTTGTTTGTTCCCTCTACAGTTCTTTTCAGAACCCTTAGTATATACTGTCTTTGATTATTTGTACTGTAAGCTCCTCAGTATAAGAATGTGAGAGCAAGGACTTGTCTGTCTCATTCACTTTATAACTTCAGTGTTCATCAAAATGCGATGCACATCATAGATGGTCAATGAGTATTTGCAAAATGAATGGAAGAACAGATGGCCTAAAAGTCTAACCCTCTGCCATGCACATGAGTTCCTTTTGCATCATTCTCAGTGAGAACCTAGGCTCATGAATTAATTAAAAGTCACTTATGAAATAGTCGGGGAACAAACTCACTATCAGAGAGGCTAAAGTAAAACAAAGCATGACCAAAGCTGAACTGAGAGTAAGGAGAAATTTTCAAATATCATTTTAAAAGAAGGGAGGTCGGAGAAATCAACCTGCCCTCTGTCTGTGTTATGGAAAGATGTCATGGGGGTAGAAACTGCCTCATTTGCTGTGGAATTTATTACTTTTATTCCAGAATTCCTGAGAGGTTACTATCTGGGTAGCATTTTATGGTTACAAGCATAACGTATGACATTTAAAATAAACACATGGCTAACTGACTAAAAACAGGCTACATGAGGACTAATGATAAGAGTTTGTTGTGAACCTCAGATTATAAGGCCCAATATCTAGTCGTCCTTACCTTATCTACATTGGACTAAGACTCTAGAGACTGCAAATTAGGTGCCCCGACCTCCAGATTTGATGCACATCTTTAGGATCTGAAGCCTTAGTGTATGAGGAAAAACTCATCTCAGCTTTTGATGCAATCCTGTAAAGTTTTGAAAAGAGTTTAGAAAATTAAGTCGTTTCTGACTTAACATAAACCTCCTTACATTATGTTGCTATCGACCCCAGAGAATTCCTTTTGTTAATTAAAAAGTTATTTTAGAAGTCGTCTTTCGCTTTCTGTCCTTTCTCTCAGACATTGTGATTGATTTAAATGCACCTGAGTCAAGTTGGAATTTAGGTTTTTCTCACTGCAGTTACCGATTTTCACCACAAGAGAGCACTTCCAGGCCAGAGAGGGCAAAACGTGAAGGGTTCTGAGCAGTAAAAGAATTTAGGAATGAAAATTTATTGACCATGTCCTGACTCCTGACAGGGTGTGAAGAGATGATTCATTGGATCAGGGTGACAGGAAGTACAATAACTTTGGGTTTGGAAACAACCTTGGATCAAAGGGGGGCAGAATAAAAGAAGGAAAAACAAAATACTAGCAGCCTCGTCTGGCTACCATTACCCACCCAGCCTTTCCCAGACACTGATGTGAGCGCACAGTGTTCCCAGCACGCAGCGTCTGGGGAATGACGGCAGTGCTGTCCCTCCTCCCCCCAATCCCTATCCAGAAGAGTGCTTGACGGCCTATGCGGAAAGGTGAGACTGCAGGCTATTCTGTAACTATTATTTGTTTCCTGCCTGACTGGCTTCACTCACTGATTTGACCGCGCGGACATCTGCGCTTGTCCCTGTGACTCCCGTGGGCTCCTTTTCGCCTTATCCAGGGGACGACAACACCCCCACCCCCACCCTTTGAGAGCTCTGGCTCCCACCACCCTTAACCGCGCCTGTAACAAAGGAGCGTTCTGCTCCTTCTCCAGATGAGATCTGAAATCAAATGACCTTTTTTGCCTCAAAGACAACCACAGGGCATTCATAGAGCAGAGGGAGCCAGGCAGCTAGCAGGGCTTTCCAACTAGGGCGACCCTGAGGGCCCATATGGGCAGTGTCATTGGAAGGAGACCACTTCCGACCGCATGGGACCTTGTTCTTTTTCTCCCCAGGTTTCATTTCTTCACTTTTTTGTTTTTTTTTGTCTTATGCTATCAGCTTTTCCATGTTTCCCCTTTCAGAAACTGATGGTGATCCTGGGGCTGGGCGTGGCCCTCGGCTGGGACTTGTTTCTTTGGTACCGTGTTCTAACAATTGTGCGTGCAGGTCTTTTGGCCTGGCACACTGCCCAGTCGTGAACAGTCCTCACCGTGGGGATAGTCGCTCATCTACAGCTGCATTTGTTTAACTTAATCTGCACAGCCTCTGCTCCATTTATTTGTCACAAGCTGTTTCTTCACAGGTCAAGAGATGTTTCATTTATCAGCTACTGGCTCAAAAATACGAAAAACACTTCCAAAGAGCTTGCAGCTTCTATCTGTGGGTTTGTTTTGGCTTCCTCTTGCTACTGTAACAAGTTATTGCAGACAGTGACTGAAAACAACCAAAAGTGTTTTTAACCTTAGAGTTTTAGAGACCAAGGACTGACACGGGTTCTGTGGAGCTAAAACTGAGGCTCTGAGGTAGGACCCATTCCTTTATTCCTTTCGCTTGTTGGCAGAATTTGGTTTCCAGAAGTTGTAGGATCACCGGCTGCAGCTGAGGGCAGCTCCCAGCTGCTTGCATTGCTTGGCTGTGTGGCCCCTTCCACCATCCTCAAAGTCGACAACTGGGTCAAGCCTTCCTCCTACTTCAAATCTCCCCTCTTTCTTTGGTCTCTTCACTCTGACACAGCAGGAAAAGATTTTCCACCAAGGACTTGTGATTAGGTTTGGCCCCGCCAGATAATCCAGGATAATCTCCTCATCTCAAGACCCGTCCCCTTAATCATATCTACAAAATCCCCTCAGGATGCATGGAAACATCTGCACAAGCTCCGGGATTCGGACACAGGTGTCTTTGGGGACAGACTGTCATTCAGGCAAAGCACAGCACTGAGCCCCTCTCTCTGCTGGCAAGAACTCCATGTGGTGCTTCAGTTCGAAGTCAGACTATGGGTGTGTGTGTGTGTGTGTGTGTGTGTGTGTGTGTGTGTGTGTGTGTGTGCATGCGCGCGCGCTTTGCTACACAGCTGTGACAAGGGAGGGGAAGGCTTGTCTTCCACCCCAGCCCTGCAGTCCAGAACCTGGCCAAGGCGTGCAGAGCTTTGTTTTCTGTTTGTTTGCATATTTGTTTTTAGTACATTACCTAGCTTTGAAGTGTGTTCGAAATTGAAAACTAATAACATTGATTAACATTCTAGTAATCAGCATGTTTCAGTTAGTGGTACACAAGAGACCTACTCCATATCCATTCTTCCTCTTTAGTTTCTAACTAACCCCGGTTTTATTTCCGAAGCAAGATGTCCAAAAAGCAATGACAAAATCTGTTTCTAAGCTATGTTTTGGGCTAGTGGTGGTCATTGTGACACGTTTCTGGTGTGTGTGTGTGTGTGTGTGTGTGTGTGTGTGTGTGTGTGTGTGTGTGCATGCGCGCGCGCTTTGCTACACAGCTGTGACAAGGGAGGGGAAGGCTTGTCTTCCACCCCAGCCCTGCAGTCCAGAACCTGGCCAAGGCGTGCAGAGCTTTGTTTTCTGTTTGTTTGCATATTTGTTTTTAGTACATTACCTAGCTTTGAAGTGTGTTCGAAATTGAAAACTAATAACATTGATTAACATTCTAGTAATCAGCATGTTTCAGTTAGTGGTACACAAGAGACCTACTCCATATCCATTCTTCCTCTTTAGTTTCTAACTAACCCCGGTTTTATTTCCGAAGCAAGATGTCCAAAAAGCAATGACAAAATCTGTTTCTAAGCTATGTTTTGGGCTAGTGGTGGTCATTGTGACACGTTTCTGGTTCAGGAGCTGTAAGTAAATATGGCTGAGTGGAGATTCTAGGAAAGCTGTCTGGAAGGTGCTGATTTGTGTACGCTCTTTGTTTTCTATGTCCTGCCCCGTCCACCTGTCTGAAGTACAGACACAAAGCAAGCACACAGGCTGTCATCTAGAAAATATTGGTCATGTCCTAGGGATGGCAAACTGGAAAGCTTGGAAGAGCCAAGTCACCAAAAGAATTGCAAAACCCCAATACAGCCCTGGACTCCTTTTCTATGAAATAAAAAGATGGGAGATTGACTTTGGTCCTGAGCAGCTGAATTTAATTCCTCTCTGATCATTGATTTTCACTCAAAAGACTGTAAGATTTTGTCTTCTAGCAGTAGAAAATAAGCTGTGAAAATATCCTTTTCTTAATAATAAATTTAATTCTAGCAAATTATTCCAAGACGGATGCAGTTATAAATGGGTATCTAACACTTTCAATTGCTGTCATTATTTCAGACATGTTATCTCGTTTTCAGGAGAACCATGCCGCAGGTGAGTCAGGCATTGCATTGCCTTCATTGAAAGTTTAGGAACATGAGGCACAAAATCCCCAAATCCTTGTTTATATCTGTCAACTCCAAGCCATTTGCTTTTTCACACTCTTTAAGTTTTATTCCTTAATGGTACTTTTTAAACACTCATTTATAAGGTGAACAAACTGCAAACTTTTTTCCTTTTGTCTACCATGTGTATTTAACATGGAAAAGCTGTAAGATTGTTTTTCTCAAGAGACCCTTCCCCCGGCTAGTGGGCGACCTCTCCAGCCAGCTCTGATTGAGGACAAGGCAGTCACACCCGCAGCGAGCCCTCCCAGAAACCGGGCTGGCCTGGCCTTAGGAAGGGGTATGGCCCTGACAGCTATGAGGCAGGAGCACACCTGGGCTCTCCAACTCCCTGCAGCCCTCTCCCATGCCTTCTCTAAGCCGATGGCAGCCAAAGCAGAGTTCCTTGGTGCGCAGTTCCTAGCCAATCGAAAGTGTGGCCAGGAAAGGAAACCCAGGCCAGTTTGAGTCAGGTAGCACATTAATGCGCTAAAGTTGATGGACTTCTGTACAAGGGTAAGGCTCTGTACCCGAGCGTGGTGCTTGCTTATAATCCTAGCTATGCAGAGGCCAAGAACAGAGGATCACAAAGGTCCGAGCCAGTTTGGGCAATTTAACAAGACCCCATCTCAAAACAAAAATAATAAAACATTCTACTGCTGTTGTAGACAGTTTGGTCAGAAGCTTTCATATTTTCTAAATTGCAGGGGTTCATGTGAAGGCAAAATGCTAATTTTTACGATAGTGAAATAGAATCCAGGACAAAAAGCACTTATGATTCCCCCAAATACAAAAGGTACCCTCCTTTTCAGGTTGCCTTTCCATCTGGAAGACTAAAGAATTCTGTGTAAATTGTGAACTTATAAAAGTAAAGTTATCATACAGGATTTCAAAGTTCATAACATTTTCAAAACGTATACAGTGAAGAGGAATAAAGAAGAGAGTGTTCCCTCCAATCAAAGCAGATTTAGCTCTTCACATCTCCTTCCCTTTGAGTTGGTGACTTCCACCTGGATTGTCCATGACATTTAGAGGTCATTCACTGGCCTGCTTAAATTAATGCATTCGGTGGGTTTAAATGTCCTGTTTTCAAGTTATCTTTCTGTTAGCATCTAAAAATCATTTGCCAGGTGTGCCAAAAATGTTAAAATTCTAGAGATTATAAAGTTATTCGAAATGCAAGTTTAGGGAGAACTTCCTAGATAGGTAGATTAAGCAGAGGATTGGTCTGTGCCATCAGAGGGAGTGACAGACTAAATATATGATATATGATAAGATTAAAAAGAGTCTATGCTTTATGGGTATTTGCCAGCATCTTTAATGAGTAAGCAGATATCTCCACCCTAGAAGACCAGGAAGTTTTGTTTATATTGATTAGAATTAGGGGCTGCAAGTAATAGAAACCAATTCAAGATAACTTAAGTAGGAAAGAAAGTGGAGAGAAGATGTATTTGAAATATATATAAAAATGAAATATATATAAGTGGGGTTGGGGATGTAACTCAGTGGTAGAGAGCTTGCCTAATATGCATGAGGCCCTGGGCTCACTTGCTTGAACAAGAACCCGTTTTTGCTTTAGCCTTTAGATTTTGTTTTTTGTCTTTTGGCTTACAAAGGGGGGGATTGATTTATTTTGTTGTTGTTTTACTTTAGCTTTATTTTTTGTTTTGTTTTTTTCCTCAGTCTCTTTCAACTTCCCTTTGTTTCTCTGTGTTGGTCCGCACGTCTACCAAGCCCATTTTGTCTAACCCTGCTGTGTTGCACCTTGTGGTGCTTTGGTATTCCACTCATGAAAGCAGACCAGATGAGGACTGGAAATGTCTTTGTCCCATTTGTAAGAAGATGTGATGGCCTGTCAGGGGCTGGGGACTCCCCGCTGGCCAAGTGACGAAGGCCAGGTAGAACAAACAAGGCTCACAAAGGTCCTCTATTAGGATGCTGGGGAGAGCAGGAAACAACTCCAGAGAAGCTGGAACTGAGACAAGAGGCAGGGGTGACTTCTGATCTGACTGTCGGCCAAGGATGGGGTGGAGAACTGCAGATGGGAAAACAGAGACTCGTACTGCTTGAGGGAATCTTTTCTTGAAAACATCTGCACATAGCAAAGCATTTTATATGGACAGAAGTAGTATATTCTGAGCAGATGTGTGCAGATGTTTTCCAGACATTTATAGACAGAAGCTCTTAAAATTCATGCTAGTTAAATTCCTGTCAGTGCGGTACTAAATTAGATCTTGTAGTTGTCACGTCTTTTTCAGTCAATCTCAGGGACCAACTGTAGAGCTGTTCTGCTGTGGGGATTTCTGTTGTGCAAAGCATTTCTGGCCCCAGTATATGAGGTGAGGCGAGCACTGGCAGGGCTCACCCAGTGTTTACAGGAAGCTGCACAGACATTTATTTGTCCCCGCTTTATTATCATGAAGCTGTCTACAGATATTTGGCATGTGGAGTTATATGCAAATATATAATAAATGTATAGAATGCCCATTCTCAATAATAAAGACTATTAAAATTAAGTTCCTCGATTTTTTTGAGCTACATTCAGTAACAGGAACTCAACCAACCAAAGACTGGTGGACGAAAGTCCTTTGTCATGTGCCATAAGAAATCTTTACGTATGCCTTGTAGTTTGCACAGTGATTGCTGAAATGTGAGCAAATGCTTTCAAAGTGATTTTTAAATATTCCTCAAATATACCTTAGATATTGAAAATATACTCTTGGCTATATTTCACAAACTCTTTTCAAACGTATTACAAAAGGAAAGTTCTATTCCAGCCTGAAAATAATAGCAATAAAATAATAAGCGTAGAAGATAGTATCTCCATGCAGTTTCTTAACACAAGGATCAGCTATCTATAAACCATTTTTTATTTTATTCTTGCAACAAACATGGATACTGCATCTATCCTGTTTTATCTAAAAGGAAATTGAGTGTGGGAGGCCTGCAATTTATGTCAAGTTATTTGTGATTTATGTCTAAATCAATGCACTTTTACTACTGTTTATAAAATACTCCCCTGAATGGAAGCAGCAATGACAAAGAGATCACGTTAGCCCATTAGGGTAAGTAGGGAGGGTTCAGACCTGGTTGGCACAGTGGCAACATTTAGCTTTTGTTTTTAAGATCAGATTCTGGAACAACTCGGGCTATTCATATTCAAATCCCTGCCCTCCTCCTTACCTGCTTTGTGACCCTGCAAGTTATTTAACCTATCTGTTCCTGGGATTCTCTGTTTATTTAAGATGAATAAGTACTTCATAGAGCTGTTTTAAGGGATAAACAATATAGGGAATAGTCCCTAGAACACAGGACATTACCTCCCCATCTGCAGCCTGTGTGCTCAATTTGTTAGGCCAGCTTTAGGTGCAATCAGCCGCTCCATTGGGCCAATCTGGAAGGCCAGCAGAGCGCAAATCAAGTCCTTCCTCCACCTGGAATTCTCCATTTTTCTAATCGTTTGAGACTTCTTTGTTCTACCCTGGGTTGGGGAGTGACACCGAAATCAGAATTCACAATGGGCTGGCCGGGCTGTGGATGAGTTAGGTGGGGACGCCCCAGCACAGGTGCAAGAGGGAGCAGAGAACCAGCAGCCTCCAGGCTCCAGGCGCTGTTTTGGGCTCCCTCCATTTAAAGTAGCAGCCACTAGCCCTCCCAAGACTGCCACAGTCTGCTTTAAATCCACTGGGTAACATTCTTAGAAACTAAGGAACCCTAACTAATTGAACAATAAAAGATTTTAGTCTTGAGAGGGCGGCACATTCAAGGGAGTTTGCAACTCTTTTGATTGCACTCAACTCTGCAGCTGGCTGGCAGGGCCTGCAGAAGCCTCTTGGCCTTGTCCTGCTGATTTCTACTGCAAGGAAGATAAGAATCACTCACTTGCCCTCTCCTTTCTCCCTAGGAGTTCTAAGAAGATTAATTGCTATTTGTGATTCATTTTGATTTGGTTTAAAGAGACACAACTACAAAAATATTAGGTAAAAAATACTGAGTTTCTGAAATTCAAGATAAATTTCTCTCTCAAGTACAGTGACCATTTCATCTGTCACCCAATGTTGAATAATTTGGAGAATGGAGGTACCAAACATTTAAACTTTTGTAACTTTTTCCAGGCATGGTGGTACACTCCTGTAATGCTAACACTCTGGGAGGCTGAGGAAGCAGGACTGCATGTTTGAGCCCAGCCTGGACAACTTAGCAATTTAGCAAGACCCTATTTTAAAACTAACAATTAAAAGGGCTTGGGATGTAGCTCAGTGCAAAGGCCTTAGATTCAATGCCAGTATCACAAAGAAAATTATAATTTTTCTTGAAACATGAGAATTTTGCACAAGCAGAATTTTACAGAAGCAAAACTTTGCTGTTAGTGGGGGAAGCTCAGGGAAAGTTTCACACAGATTAGTTGAAACAAAGTATCACACAGATATAGGGTATCCTGTTTACAAGGTTGTAAAGATAACATATATTTGCAGACTGCTCTACCAAATGGGAAGATGTAAAGATAACATAGTTGCAAGCTGCAGGTTGTAGAGGTGGGTCATGCATTAATTTAGGGGACTCCCAAGGGGGGAATCACCTGGAATCACTGGACTTTACACAGATGCAGTCATGCTGGCTATCACAATATAATCTATCAGGTAATCAGGCTCCCTGATGTTTACCCAAATGAACTGAAAATTTATGTCCATGCAAAACCTTCATGGGAATGTTATAGCAGTTATTCATAATTACCCAAACCTAGGAGCAATCCACATAGGCAAGTAGATATGTAAACTGTGGTGCATCCATATAATGAACTATTACTCAGCACCAAAAAGGAGCTATCAAAGCATTAGAAGGCACAACCTAAATGCATGTGCTTAGGGGGAAGAAGCCAACCTGTATGACTGCAACTGCAGCTGCTCCTTGACTTACCATGGGGTAGGTCCTGCAAACCCATCATAAGTTGAAAATCTTGAGTAGAAAAATACCTTAATACCTCTGACCTACCAAATATCTTAGCTTAGCCTCACAGCACACTGCAGAGTGCCTCTGTTTCCCTTTGAGGTCTCAGGACTGCCTGGGAGCTCTGACTCACTACCACTGCCCTGTGTCTCGGGAGAGGATCTCCTATGTGATGCTTGCCATGGAAAGGATCAAAATGCAAACCTGAAGTACTGTTCGTACCGGAATGTTTACACCATTGTAAATTCAAAACATTGCAAGTTGAAGCATCATAATGGAAGACTGTATGTGACATTCTAGAAAAGAAAGCTGTTGAGGTAGAAAAAAGCCCTCAGTGGTTCTCAGGGGTTAGGAGGGCAGCGTGATGAACAGAAGGCACACAGGGAATTTTCTGGGCAGCAAAACTTTTCTGTGTGATACTGGATTCTGCCTGCATGTTGTCATGCACTGTCATAAAACACACCAAGAGTGAACTCCGGTGTGAGTG